CCATTTAAAAGTTGAATGTTTTTTCTAGCTGAAAGTAGGCTGAAGTACTTAGGGCTGAAGTAGGTCAAAGTTTGAGACGGATTTGAAGATTTCTCCATTAATTTCAATGAGAGAAAACAAAAACAGAAAAAGTTAAATAACTTAAAACCAAAAAACACCAGTAGTCCATGTTTCAGAGGTGTATGTGATTGTCACCCCTCCTATAAGTGTAGCGCCATTTCAATGGTTTTGGGTAAGGTGGCCTGTCTTTTTTTATACCAGGCTAGAGCTTTAATTTAGCTAACCTCACATATGTGATTTGAATCCTGGTACTATAAACCTGTTTGGCAAATTGGCAAAAGATAAACTTTTTCTTTAAATACATCAGTTACATTTGCAATAACATGAGCTGAGATTATTTGATTATCTTAGATGTATAATCCAAATTTATCTTATTCATATTTTACAGTTGTGAATAATCCTCCTCTCTACAGAATGATGGACACCAGATACTTTAAATGGCCTTAAACCCCTTCAAACTGATGGGTAGCTAGAGCTGCTGATGTCTTTGTTCCCTGACATTGTGTTAGCTCATGCCTGAGTGCAGCAAACGTATGCTTTTACACACCCTGAGGATCAATAATCAGTTCCTGTGTGATCGCTTAGGAGCCTAATTGTTCTGTTTTCACCCCATTTTGAGATCTTATTGTCTGTTTGCACCTGAATCATGAATCCTGATAGCTGACAGAGTGTAATGTTCTTTCCTGATAGGTGATGACTGGTTGGACATGTGCTTTGTGTGAAAGATTTACCTGAACAAAAGAAAAAATACCCCACAGCAGAGCGGTTCTACTGTATTCAGACCGATTTGTGCGGAATGTGACAGGGCAGGAACGACTGTCACAGTTTCTTTGTGAATCTCATCACTGTTTGTATCTTTTACCTTTAGGGGGAACAGATCAGCTCAGGGGTGGAATAGACACAAAGCATCATGTTACAAACCACATCAGGTTAGGGAACTCAGCACGTTGGAATTTCAGCTATATTTAACTGAGCACTCATTATGGCTTCAACACTAAAGATCAGGCCAGAATGTGTCTGTAAGAGTATAACAAAGCTTTGACCTTTTCCAGTCTGACCGTCTGTTGGGTTTTGTGTTTGTTTAAGATCAGAAGATGCATTCATTTATTTGAAAGTAGGCCTTTCTATCAAAATGATGCTGTTTGGTGATACAATCTGATTATTTGATTACATAGATAATCCTCTACCCTCCTAAAGATCTCCAGGCTATCACCAGATTTCGCCCTCCAGACCAAGACTCATTGTCTCTGGGCTTCTTTTGTTGTCACTCAGGAAAACCAATCTTCTTGTTTACCCCTATCATGTGTCTTTATGTCTTCATGTTGTGGCCTGCTGAAGAGTATTCAGCTAATGGCATAAAAAGATCATCTGGCCAATCCAATTCTGCGACGCAACTACAAACAGCCCTGTCCAAGGAGGGTGTACCCCTGGGAAGACATGGCTCCACTATTCACTATTCAAACTATGATTCAGCCGCAGGTTTTCATTGTTCCAATGTATTAATCAATTATCTCCCAGATAGGGCAGGCATGACTAAGTCTTGAGGAGGGGCAGTATCGCATGGATTCTTGGTATTGTCACCACCGTGGTTCCCACCAAAAATACTTCTGTCTCTGTCCAGTGCACCCAAAAGCCATAGCCCGTCCGTAAATCTTTGGGTGCTCAAAGCAAAAGTCACCTACGTACCTACCTGGACAGAACGTCTAGTTGTCCTCCAAGGATTTTCCTCTAATGGCCCATGATAGGAAATTCTCTCCCAGATTCTTAGGTCCTTATATTGTTGGTGCTGGACACCCCTGCTATAGAAGCTTTATTCAAAGGTGCTCCTGTAACTGTGGGAGCCCCATTTTCAGACTGAAAGCCACACATGGATGAAGACACGCTTGGCAAATGGGAATCAAGAGTTCCAAGTTCTGGTAAATTATGTGTGTCCCCTTTTGTCTGCATGACCTCCTGATTCTACAGATAATCAGCACATCTGGTCAGTTTATCCATGTTCTTGATGAAAACCACCCTGGTACTCCTGGTTCTGAGATCAGACAGCCAGTCAGAACCTCCTTTCTAACACACCAGAGGTAGACTTGTCAACACTTTGGGATCACATCCATCAATCTATTATCGTTACTGCTTATTCCCTGATAGGGTCGCAGGGGGAACTGGAGCCTTTCCCAGTGGTCTCTATGTTAAAAATGGGAAACACTGTGGTCGGAGACCTACATGTGTTTTGCAGATATTAAGATAAAATGTTTGAATGAATCTAATCTGTCCTTCCTGACCTTACTACCCCACCAGCCCCTGGAAGAGGAACCAGGTTCCCGCATTCTTTGAGTATCAGTTCACCACCAGGCATGTGTCAAAAACACCTAATAAATGAAATTGTAGTTTTCTACTTGTTGGGAAGCTCTACATATACCTTTTGGCACAATTA